AGAAATGATTAGAAATAAACGCGCATTAAATAAAAAACATGCCAAAAAAAAAAAAACACGGAACTTTATGTTAAAAGAGTAGCAATTTATCTATTATTTTAAAATTCAGTAAGCATTATTAAATTTTTTAATGGTTCAGTCTAAAATGCATAAAGCAGTAACATTGCCTCTTCCAAATTATATCTATCTTTCACACACAGCTCATTTTAAACGCTGGTTCAAAAACGCTAATTTCCAAGCTGTGAATTATATTGGCTCGCTCAGTGTCATCATGGCTACGTCATTACTTCTCACTTTCTGCTTCAGGCGAAAAAGCTCTATGAGCTAGCCCTTCTCTTCTAAGTCCTGGTCCCTCATCGTGTCTCTAGCATTAATTAAGTAGTAATAAATTATAATAGTAAAATTATAAATTTTGTAATAATTATATTATATAATTAATAAATACTATGTTTAATTTGTGTTTTTAATACATATACTCAGTAATTTACATACATACACACACACACACACACACACATATATATATATATATATATATATATATTGTGTGTGTGTGTACGGTTGTGGTCTTGTATTGTATATGGTTCTATCTTGTTTGTCTGCTGCTGTTTTTTGAAAAATGTATGAAAATGTTGGGAACGAAAATAACATAAGTTACTTTAGTTAAATTAATATATACTTTGTATGATGACTTTTGTTGATATCTCAGGATGCAATACATATTACTTTGCATATACTCAGCATACATATAACTTTGTATGAAATACAAAGTTATATGAATCATCGTCAAAGTAACATCGTCAATATTTTTTTCTCCTCCAGTAACACATCTATTCATCATTACCAAACCCCCTCACCACACATACACACTTGTGAGACACTATTTATTGTAAATGAAGACAAATATTTCTCCTTTTAACAACACTCATGGACACAATCGTATTTTAGGATATTTTATACTTCTTTTCCTTTTCTTTCTATAGGCCATTTTTTTTTCCTCTCTATTATTATTGGGCCATTTATTTTAAATTTTATTTTGTCCCATCTTTTCTTCCTAACCTTTTGAACTCGTGCAAGATGTACGAAGTTCCCTTTTTACTCTCCTCAAATACGAAATTGCCCCCCTTTCTACATACCATGGAGGTAGGAAGTAAGATGGAGTCGCCCTAAACAAGTTTCTCCCGTACCCTGCTCTGAAGCACCGGCGATCCCTACGTGGTGACCAAAACATTGGGTCATTTATCATTGAGTTCTATGGGATTTGACGCGTTCGGATGTAAATCTTTTGTAATTACCTCGTAAATATACATATAAATGTATATATTTTCTTTTTCTACAACACTCAGTCCTAATATGTGAAAACAACATATTTTTTAAACAACATTTCATTCTGAACAGAATTAAATGCTATACTTTTCACAGGACAGTTTTTTCTCAGAACGGTTTAATTTGAATGAAATATTTTCACCCAAGTTTTCGTTAATTACATTAGAAAAAAAATTAAGGTAATTCAATTTTATTCGGCTAAGGTACAAAAATTAAGATCAAAATTTGTTTGTATTATTAATATTAAAATTATGCATTATTTCTTTTCTATTTATAGAGCTTCTTCCTAAAATATTTTCTTAAATATGACATGATTTGTTGGCTTCTGAGGCATCTTTTAAATCGAAAAATGTAAGTCAATTTATAATTAATGCTCTTTTCGGTTCATTTTAAATTATAGAATTATTAGGAATTGGCGAAATACTTTAAATAGTACTTAAAGCGAATAAAATAAGTTTTTTTTTTTTTTAAGTATTATTTAAAACTTGTAACTGAGTTATTATAAAATGTAAGGGGAATAATTCTCTTAATTATACTTATCAGATTTCTTTTTTTTTTTTTTTACCCTTCATTTCAACAATACATATTCCAAAACTCTTATTACGTTCTTAAGTGGGCATCTCATAGCATTTGCTTTACAATACCTTTTAACAGATTGCTTTCCCAATACGAACAATTCTTGCTTAAATAGTTTATAACGTATTTGTCAACAGGATTTCAATTTATGTTTACAATTCAATATGAAGATTATTATATATTAGATAACATTTATAATCATTATAAATTAGATTTCTTCACAGTACTTCACAGTTTTTTAAGTGAATAAATTCTTCATTTCATATACATTTTAAAATAATTTAATGAATATTTTTAAGTATTTTGTCAAAGGCAGATACATGCTTTTGCAAGCACATGCTAAATACCCATACATATTTCCTATTTATCATTTCCGGCATGTGCAAATCTTTAATTTCTGTGCATTCACTATATTTTTCGTGTAAAGTAATTTACACTAATTTAGATACATACACCCGAAAGTTTACATAAAAAATATATATGAATATAATTTGAATGAAATTATAAGTATTATTTTAAATTAAAGTATTCTTTAATCATAACATTTTCTTAAAATCTCTATTTTGTAGTGCAACAGCTTTTGAATTTTTTAAAACAAATTCGTAATCAAATCGCTGTTGTTATTTATCGAAAAATAACCAAGATGTGATTTTTGCTTAAATGTCACTAAACTATACAAATTGCTATTATCCATCACACTCTAAATGTTTCTTTCATGCGAAAGTGTCCCTTTTTCGATTTCTATGGAACTGTCGTGTGTCGAAATACTATCAGAATCTTGTCAAGCGAGCTTCTGAATGTAAACAAAGAACACCCCATCTGGTGACCCAAGCTTCAAAGCAGTGCTTCACTTTTAGCGCGGGTTGGTTCCTCCTCCCTTTTCCACCCCCATGCTATATACCTTTCCTTCGCACATATGCTTGATTTTTCGCCCATCGGTGCAGAAAGACTTAGCGGGTGCAAAACAAGACATCTAACTACTTTGTCTGTTTGTCTAACGTTTTTTCAATTAATTAACAATCAGTAATCGAACGGTATGTTCTGTTTCATATTTTTTTACGTAATTAGCGTTGTTATAACCTTTGATGACAACGTTACTTAGCTTGAAAATTTATTAGAAGCTAGCAAAAGGTAGTATAACTCATTAGAAGACTAGTAATTTTTTAGATGCGCAAATTTTCGTGCTGCTTAAAAATTATTTCCCTTCTAATGATTTTTTTTAATTTGGGAGAAAATTATGGGATTTTCGAGATTTAAATATCACTCAAATATTCAAGAATTTCCTATTTTTCTTCCGTACTGGATGAGTTTTTTTTATTTCTTCATACTGTTTGATTTAAACACAATAAATTTGTTTTTGGCAGCATCTTATGTGTATAAACGAATTTCAAATTCCCCCCCCTTTTTTTTTTCTTTTTGTCTAGGCAGCCGTAAAGTTTAATCGCGAAGCTTCCAAATCTCCAATGTATAACATACAAATTTTATTTTAAATATCACCGAAATCGGTAAACCTAGAGTTTAGGGTACTTTTTGGCGGTACATGGATACCGATTTTGTTCAATGCTTTGACTCGTTATTTTGGCTTGCGAAGCGTCGATTTTTGGGACAAAAATCGCCGCTACACGAAGCCAAAATAACAAGACAAGCAATTGCACAAACTCGGTATCCATGTGCACATCGACTTATTTTCACTTAAAAAAAAAAAGCCCAAATTGTACAAAAATAGCATTGCACACTCCTTTGACTTTATCCATGTACACGTCGACCTATTTTCACTTAAAAAAAAATCCACGAATTGCACAAAAATGGCATTGCACACTCTTTCAAATTTATCCATGTACACGTCGGCCTGTTTTCATTTTAAAAAAAATCCCAGAATTGCACAAACTCGCATTGCGCACTCCCTTTACTTTTTCCATGTTACACATCGATATATTTTCATTTAAAAAGTCGGTTGATATTTACATTATGGTAACTTGGCATTTTTTTGGCGAAAATTTGCCGACCAACTCTCCTACAGCAACCCTCTATTTTTTTTTTTTTCCCGCCGCCATTTTGTCTTCACGAAGTAAAGACATGTTTCTTTTCTTTTTATCTACTGAACACTTCTTCCAACAATCTACTAGCCGAATTACACTTATGCTAGAAATTTTATCTAACAAACTGAAACTGCTTAATCATGACAAATATTCACTGCAAAATTGGGAAAAAGTGCACAATACCATACTCCTTACGCGTTTTTCAAAATAACACATACACATAAACCATGTACACGCCGACTTATTTTTACTTAAAAAAACATCCCAGAATTACACAAAAATGGCATTGCGCACACTCTTCACTATATCCATGTACACTGCTTTTTTTTTCTCATAAATTAGAAAAATTTCACGAAAATACATGACAATTTTCTGAATCTTTAAACCCGGTAAAAAGAACATATATGAAATTACCTGATCGCGAAAAAGTTTATACCCTTTCCAAATATGAACATTTCCACATATAAAATAAATAAAATATCCAAAAGCTTTTACCTCTAAATCATCTATTATATTATACACGTCACCAACGAATTCATACCGCAAGCATTACAAATACTTAGTGTCAAATATAATTATTTCCATGCACGTTTATTTCATCTTAAACGTATACCAAATTCTTACAAACATAAAATTCACAAAATAACTATCATTTAATTAAAATATCACTAAAACCATGTACATGTCGACTATTTTTACTTAAAAAAACATCCCAGAATTGCACAAAAATGGCATTGCGCACACTCTTCACTATAATCCATGTACACTGCTTTTTTTCTCATAAATTAGAAAAATTTCACGAAAATGCATAACAATTTTCTGAATCTTTAAACGCGGTAAAAAGAACATATATGAAATTACCTGATCGCGAAAAAGTATATACCCTTTCCAAATATGAAACATTTCCCCGTATAAAATAAATAAAATATCCAAAAAACTTTTACCTCTACATTATCTATTATATTACAAACGTCACTAACTAATTCATACCTTTACTTCATTACAAATGGTTACAAATACTTAGTGTCAAATATTTAAATTATTTCCATGCACGTTTACGCAAATTACTTTACTTCCACCTTACATTTAGAACAATGCATAAAAATAATATCCTCAAATAATTAAAAATACTAAATTACCTATTCTTCTTCTGAATCTTGATTAAGTGTCCGATAAACTTTTCTTATTTCTGTTTCAGGATCTTTAAAATCATACTTATAGTTTACACCAAGGTACCAGGTAAAATAAATAACTTAATAAAACATCTTACTTCTATCTTTCACAACCTTAAAGAACACTTATTACCCCTTTCAATCCCACTAAATCCCATTTCGAATTCACTTTAGTTAGGGCCATGGGATCCAAAAATTAACAAACACTGTTTCACACAACACAGAATAAAGGCAAATACAAAATTTCCAGACTTTTTCCCGATTTCCCCCCTTTTCCGATTAAAGAACCGTAATTCGTCCATTAATATCACATTACATATCACATGATCTCTCATTTCCCTCACACAAAATAATGCGTAATTGGAACTGAGTACTGCTCACATTATTACCAAAGTCCCAGGTAGTAACCTTTATCGCCTCCAAAATGTCGCCAAACTACCAGTTACCATATTGTAAAGATCAGCCAAAAAGTCAAAGGAGCACCAAAGTCTACAATGTAGGCAAACAAAAAATACATAATCTCAATAAAATACATTTTAAACCAAAGAATAAAATAACATAAAAAAGGAAAAACATTTTATACATTTAACCCCTTCGAGCCGGGTAGCGAAAACGCGTGCTTATTGCGGAGGCCGGCAGTGTCTTCCGCGAGCGTCTCTCCAGGGCCTTGGGGATTTTTGCTACTAAGCCTGAATCCATGAAATTTCCGAAGTATCAACACATTGTTTAATAATGCTCTAAAGAGTATTTAAATGGCTTATGCTTTATAGATATTTTTATATATATACTTTAATTACCTTATTTCTTGTTTAAATGCATATTTTATACATTTTATTTTAATTACTCACCATTTTATGACTTTTAACATTATACATCTGAAAACTAAATATATTACTTAAAATTCTCTTTTCGTATGAAAAAATTTGAAAACAGGGATCTACACACAGTCCTACATTACATTCCTTGCACTCGTAGTAACTCATTTGCCGTTTTGGAGGATTTTTCCGGGAATGTGAACAAACGAAGCATCGTCGTCTCATTTTCTTATCAGTCTCTTCTGAACAAAGTTTTGGAAAATGTCTTTCAGTTAATCTTTCAGAATCAATATCTGAAATATTTTGCATCATTTCTGCTATTTCATGCTCTGTTAAACATTTTCGACGCTTCGACATTGCAACGGTAAAAACATAAAGAATTCACGTCTAACAAGATATAATTATTTTATAAAAACTGAACTGTAAACTGAAATACTCAACGCTTTAGCGCATATAAAACTTCTACTTACAATAAACAACTACCACATGCGAATAAAGTGCGATTTAAAGAGACGTCATAAATCACGCCATTCGGAAACATTTAGTTCCCCGTTTGTTTATATAATCAAAAATTTGTGTATGTGAGTCATGCTTCTCTCATTTCGAGTAGAAGGTCTAATGTACATGTATCTGAAACCATATGGACATACAGTGCCATCTTGTGGCAGAAATTATAGTTTGAAAAACTTTCCAGGACGCTGGCACAAATACGTGACAGTAGGTAGTAAACGGGAAAATGCTCTGTCACACCTGCGTGTCGGCCGGTAGGTGAGTGTGTTTGTTGCTGGCACGTAGACGTGACAGTTGACGCAAAGGGGTTAAGCACTATCAAAAGCGAATATTCACTTACCATGATTTTCGAATTCGCTTTGTACACCCAGAGCCACGCAAAAATCAAAATATCAATCATACTCAAATGACTTTTTTCAAACCAGGTACTCTTTCTGATCGAACGCTTCACATAGTGACCATCTTAACACACACCACAAAAACGCTTACAAAATATCCCATGATTCAAAATTTCCCAGAATCATGCACCCAATTATGTCACAATAGGGTTTCCATAACATTCAACTACTCAGGCTACCATAAATGAAACAACAACTTGGCGATAAATCAAAGAATACTTCGCATTAATACAAGGGATACCTTAAAGTCTACTCTTAAAGTTAGCAGTGTACTACTCTACCACTGAAATCTTACGTGATGGCCGCTTTAACAAGGAAATATCGAATTTCATATCGGCTAAAATTTATTATATATATAAGGGGAGGTAGAAATTTCCAGTCTGCCATTAGTCCAGAGCAGCAGTTCTCAACCTTTTGACTAATGCGTACCATCTAAACAAAAATTGAAAACCTTTAGTATCACCACTCTTAAACAAAGTTCAAATCGCATAAATTAACGAGTGTTAGAGAAAAAAACTCGATCAGGATATTAATTTTTGAATTTAATAGTTAAAAATACTTTGCTTCTTTGTGCACCACCTTTTTTTCTCTTGTGTACCACCGGTTGAGAACCCCCTGGTCCAGAGCTTAATTTATAACATTAAAAGTATCCGAGACCTACGGAAGTATAATGGAAAAAGTAAACACACACATGCAAATATATAGATAGATAATAAAATGGCTAATCTTTGGAATATGTTAACAGGTAGTTTGGCGACATTTTGGTAAGGCGATAAAGATTACTAGCTAGGACTTTAGCAGTGTACATGAATAAAGTCAAGAGTGTGCGCAATGCCATTTTTGTGCAATTCTGGTATGTTTTTTTTAAGTGAAAATAGGTCAACGTGTACATGGATGAGTTCTGTGTACATGTGCAGTTCTTCTGTACATGTGCAGTTCTTAAAAACGCGGCAAGCAGTGGGCGATTCTGCACTTTCTCCCAATTTCGCACCTAATCTTGGTCATGATTAAGCACTTTTGTTCTATAAAAGTTCTAGCATAAGCGTAATTCAGCTAGCAGATTGTTGGAAAAAAAATGTTGAGTTTAAAAAAAAAAAAAA